TACAGATCAATGAATCCATCCTAGGATCCATGAGGATCCGAAGTTCCAAGACCCAGCTTTTCCCCCTTGTGTCATCTCAAATTAGGAGCAAGGAGAAACGGCGAATTCCGTACTCTCGGAGTTCTCTGAATCCTCAGTGAATTGTCAGGATTCCTGTCGGATTCCCAGAATTTTTGGGATTCTCATCGTACTTCGAATTCCAGATCGGTGTATTTCCTAGAGTTGTATTTCTTTTTCGAAGATGCGTATGATATCTTCAAGTCTCCACTGGGTGTGTGACAGCTCCAGCCCATGGAAGCTGGAGCGGATCATCAGTTCTTTTCATATGAGCTATCTCATAGCTGCCTAAGGCTACCTGAGAGGCGTGCTCAAAGGTTCTCAAGGCTCATCCTATGAGGGTCCTCGTAAGTCATCATAGCCTATCCAACTGAGTACTAATAAGACCTTGAGCGTTATGCCATGGACGTGGCATAAGTCCTCTAGGGCTATCCAACGGGGGTACCCATTAATTCTGAAGTACTTTCCTGTGGGGCTACCTATACAGCTTCTAGCCCGATTCATGAGCAGTACCCATAAGCCGCCAAGGACTATCGATTTTTGGTGTCGTTAACTTTTCAAGCGCTGTCTTGCGGTAGTTTTGGTTACCCTTCAAGGGTTATCCCATGAACGGGTGTCGGGTAGCGCTAACTGTTCAAGAGATAGATATCGAGCGTTAGTCGTCATATGTTTTTAAGGGCTTTTAAATACAGAGTGCAAAACTGTGATAAGGATGCCGTTCATACGTCATCCATAAAGTGGAGTTGAATATGATACGAAATACTGGTTTAAGGATAACGTAAATAGTTGTGTAATTGAGTTTTTCTTTAAGAAGTAATAGTGGACTGCTTTTCTCAGCTCAGCGTAATTGAGTCGCGTTATGGAGTGGTTTTAGGGTGTGGGTGTGCGTGTGTAAGTGTATGTGGGGGTGTGCATGAGGTGGGAGTTTGAGTGTGGATGTGGTTTTGTAGATCTTGGTGTGAGTGTGAATGTAGATTTTCTATGAATACACACCAACACCTCACAGCCATACCCTAGCCTCACCCTCGCCCACATCACCCACGCCCACAGCCATATCCCATACCCATCCTGCACCCACACTTACATTTATCCACACCCGCACCCTCATGTGTTAGACTTCGGAGAAAAAATTGATGGTAGTGACTCATATCGCTGTGTGACGGGAATAGTTTTTGCTCTCTCTGGCATCGGTGAGAGGAAAAGTAAAAAGCTTCAGAAGTCTGCCAATATTCTAAGACAGTGTCATGAAGGATGTAGGTGTGGGTGTGATTGCTAGTGGTGCGTTCAGCCACACTCACACCGACATCCACAATCGATGCCCACACCCATGCCTCACACCTACGCACCCATATCCCACGTCCGCACACGCATCCATATCGTCAACGACGACAAAGTCCCAAGTACAAATGCATGCGGCTACCTATAGATTGTGACTTTGATTTGATGAAGGTGCAAACTTTTGTAAGCTGCCTATAATAAAAGAACAAATATTAAAAACAAAATTTGTCCTTGAAATTGTTCTAGGCTGTCATTACATAGTAAGTTGATGACTGACAATAACAATATTCATGTTTCGAATGATAGGACGAGCGTATTAAATGCTTATATCGCAGAAGCAATCCTATATCGCTTTTACGACACTTTTTTTTCTATAAAGATTATTTTGTTGGAGAAAAGTTAAGTGCTTAGAGAAAGCAATGGGGCAATATCAAATTTCTATTTATCGAAAGAATAGGTGGTGCGATTCTTCACGTTCGGCGAATACGAAAAACATTATCTCTTCATGGTATATAAAGATGGGTACCGCCGCTATTCTGCCTCATTTTAAAGCAAGCGCTGGTTTCAACAGTAATTCGTTGTTTCGTATTCATTCTATTCAGGTAATTCTAAAACCTATTTTTTTCTATTCATCTAATGTTGAACAATTTTCTTTTTAAGCTTTACAGGTTTGATTCTTGTTTTCTTTTTACATATCCTCCTATTAATTTGGTATGTCGCTAGTTCGAGTGAAATCTCAATTCTGCCCGGGAATTACTCAATATGATCGATGTTCACTAAATAGTGCGTGTGCCTGTTTTCATATAGCCGGTGCTATTGACGTTGGCATTTGTAGCGATGAATTCGTGGATTGTTCTGAGCTAGTTGCATGTGAAAGCTCAAACAATCTTTGTCATGAACCTAACCATAGATGTGTTCATCATCCTCGATGTCATAATCGTCCTGTTTGTTATCCAGTGCCCCGTTTCAATCGACAACTCGGTCCACCGAGAGCAAGTAGGAAAACAAAGGATGATCTTACAGATTCAAGTGAAAGTCGAATCTTTCTTAAAGTTATTTCTTCATCATTGACACCCTCACATATGCAGTTCATGTTGATGTAGGAGTAGTGGGAAGAGTCGAATAGCCTTTGAAAAAGTAGATAAAGCATGATAGAGAGAATACAAATTGTAATCATTGGAAAAAAAGATTTCATCTCTTCTCATGGACTATATCCATTAATTTGAAATACAGAGTCGATTCCAGTTATATTTAGCAATGCATGAAGACACAGTGAATTTTTGAATGTGCATCAGAGATCGAAACAAATTGAATAATTGATTATTCGATTCGATTCTGTAGAACGTGTCATATGTTAGAATCTCCAGAACAGCATTTCAATTCTATTGTGCCACATTTCTCTTTATTCACAGTTTTTGTTGTATACTCGACAGTCTTTTTTCAAGACAACTGCGATCAATATCTAGTTCGAAAGAAAACGCATTCATGTTTCTCTCAATCATGTTTCTAATGACTAATCTTGCGAAATTGAAGACTGATCATTTAGCTATGATGAAGTAAACTCTGGAGCTCAAGAGTGCTTTAGTCGTTGAATTGAATGAATATACCACTAATGATCAGTAACGCAACTGTGTATGTAAATTATATTTCACAACTTGTGGCACTGCTGACTCGGTCACCTTAGAAAAATACTAATAAGCACAGAATGCATATTGGGGGATGCTCTTGGTACAGCTAATTATTTTGGAGGCTATGTCCGCTTGTATCAAGTATTTGAGATTTCTTTCTTAAAAGAAGAATGTCAATATTCAAACTGTCTGACGACAAGAGGGACGAGAGAGAGAGAGTTTGTAACAATTTATCTGTACAGTACTCTTCGGTTCTTTCGAATATCTCTGTAAAGCCATTCCACTCACCACTGCTAATATGACAGCAGAATATTCTAATGGTCTAAGACGACAAAAACACTGGCTTGTGGGCAACTTATGTGACAGGTTGAAATCACAAACTTCATAGTTCGAATAATGATCTTGCACTGCAACAACAGTCAATACATTTAAATCTTTTACCCGTATTTATAATATAAGGGAAGCGATGAATTTGAGCAGAACAGTTTCGATGGATTTGATTCCACTCGATGCGATTCGATTTAATTTGATTCAACCGCGTCAAATCGAATAGAATTGTCGAAAATTTTACTGGGTTTTCGGTCTTCGATGAACACAGACGTTTTCCATCAAAAATCAGCTTTAAAAGAAAAACTTCGATTAGAAAACCGTTTGAAGTCGTATTTCTGCTTTGAAACACTGCTTAGACTTCATCTAAAGCTTAAATGCTTCGAGTTCTGCATTGCACTCTATGTCAGACCTAAACTATCTGCTTTGTTTACATAAATTTTTC